TTCGGTGCTAAATTTTAAAGCTATTTAGTAGAAGATTTGTCTTGTCAATCATCATGAACGACAAAGTCTCATAATTATTATGAAGAGATGAGACGATGCAATAGTACATAGATTAGTGATAGAGCATTGATACTTGACAATAGTAAATAGGTTTTAAGAATTCAATGTCTAGACAATCGAGCCACCTCTCTCTGTCCCATTTGTTTAATCGCATCCTAGAAAAATTAACTTGGTTTTCAATGTACTATTCCAAACCCTTTTACAAGCAGTCTTCTAGAAAGCTTTTGGTTCTTAATACTCTGTCCGTGCTTTATTTGAAAAGTTTATCATTTAGTTGAAAATTAATAAAATTATAATAATTTTTTAATTTTATTCCTAATAAATATTACAATGATGGATAAAGTACATGATTAATATTTCTTGATAAGTTTAAAATTATTCAATTACTCAAAATTATTATAACACTTTTTATACTTAGGAATGAAGGGAGTATAAAGCATTTGATGGGATATTAATTATATTTTTTTGATATTACTCTTATTTAAACTCATCATTAACTGTAAAAGAGAATATATTATAAATTTGAAAACAAAAAATCACTTAAATAGGGATAAGATTAAAAGTTTATTCTCTTTTTAAACAAAATTAATAACTTAACCAACATTTTTTTTATTTTAGTAAGATAGTTAGAGATTTTTATAATAAAAATTAAAAATATTAAAGGCTGGTTTGTTTTCTGTTTTTAAAAACTATTTTTGATTTTTGAAAACAGAAAAATTTAAACATTTATTTGAATAAGTGCTTTTTATTTAATTGTTTTTTAAATTATTTTGTTTTTTGTTTTTAAAAATAAGAAAAATAAAATGAAAACTTATTATATTATAGTTGATTATTGAAAATTATAATTATTATGACTAATTTTTATTATTAAATTACCATTATTAATTGTGTATGATCATTACTATTAGTTCATTTTTAATTCTAAAACTATTTTAAAATTAACATAATCAAATGAATTTTCATTTCATTTTATTTTAAAAATAATTTTAAAAACTATACACAAAATAATTTTTTAAAATAAAACATGAGAACCGAAATCAAACATCCCGAGGGTCATTCTTTCTTGTTTTTGGCAATTTTTGATGCACAATTCCATAAATGTCTGTCTGCAAATTCTAAAAAGATGTGCATTATTTAAGAAAAAACTCTTCACTAATCTCACATATCAAATTACTAGTATGATTTAAATTAAGGGGCAAAATGGAAAGTAGCTTAATTTTAAGATAAATTTATTTTTTAAACTAATTTTCCTTAATTTTGGTGAGTTAATAAGAAATGACTTACCAATAAGATTGAAAAAAAAAATACCATTGATTATAAGGAGGAAAACAAAATTGAAAAAACCATGGGCGTTTTGCATTGGGGGCATTATAATGATTGTTATATGCAATAGTGATTATGATATAGTGGAAACATTTTTAAGGACACACTTGTTTCATTTTATTTTAATATAAAGATGGATAGTTTAGGTTTGATTCTATGATAAGTAGGCCTATAAGACAAACCATGTATTCATATTTTATTTATCCGACGATTTATGTAATTAAAAACATAAAAAAGATCCCAATAAAGAGTTGACACGCTAACAGCGTTTGAGATGGCGGCTTGCTTTCTGCCCTCCATACATTGCAGTTGGCGCCCAAAGCCTCTCTCTCGCGGTGTAAATACAATTTTTTTTAATTTTTTGATAAACACTTTTTTTGATTTTTTTTTTTTTAATATATGATTCTGCAATGAACCCACCTTCTCTCATCTCACACTTTGCTGAACTTTTATCAACATCAACTGTCCAGATTAAATGTTTAAATTTTAATTTTATATTAACATCAACTGTCCAGATTAAATGTTTTTAATTTTAATTTTATATTTATTAAATTGAAAAATATTAAATTTAAATTCTTTATTAATTCTGATCAGCCAAATAACCTGAATATTTAATTTGGACCACCTGTATCAAATCTCGAATATCCACATTATTTCGATAATCATATTTAATAAAAAATTATATTAAAGAATGTATAATTAAAATGTTTAATCTAAAGTATTCAAATTAAATCTAAACAGTGTAAATTTAATAAGGGGTCATGAAGGGTGGGAAAAAAGAAACTAAGTCCTTTTGCATGATCATGTTCAGCGGTTCAAACATTGTTGGTTGGATTAAAGGTATTCTTGATTTTTAACGAAATTTTTATATCTAAAAGTTTAAATTAGTCACAGAGAATCAAATTTCTTCTATTCATCAATCTAACCATAATCAAATTTTTGTAAGGAGTCGGGGAAAAACTAAAATTTTATTAGTTTAGATGATTTTTTTTTTTTTTGGGACCTGGAACTTTAGATGATTCACATTCAAGCTAACATGACATGGTTAACCACCGAAGCAATTCCACCCCTTTAATAACCACCAAATATATATATGTGCTATGGTGGATATCAACCTTGCTTGTATATCATCATCATCATCATCATCATGTCCTTTATATCATCAGCAAAGATTAATCAGTCACCATTACCATTGAAGAACTAAATTAAAGAGAGTTCAGTCTGGTACACAAGGCTGAGAAATCCCACAGCGTTTGCATTCGGTGATGAGCACCGAACGCTCATTACTACGTGGCCAAATCATAGCCTTTCATTTTATTTTAAAATGATCTCAACGTTCATTTTAAATTAATTTTTAAATATTATATTTATTAATAAAAGTTTATAAAAAATATTGATATTAAATTTGGATTGTCTTCTGTATTTATTTAAGAATGAGAATCATGATACTCAGAATATTTGATGAGATGTGAATCATCTAAATTTAAAATTTTATTTTTAATTACATTTATCAAAATAATTTTTTTAAAATATAAAAAAATAATCAATTTATTTATTATCAATTTGGCCGATACAAATTTAATCTAAAAAGTTTAATTTAATATTAATTTTTTTATAACTTTTATAATTTGACCATTCAAATATATTTTAAATAGTTCAACGATAATCTAGATGTCTTAGTTTAATATCAAAGTTTTTCATTATTTTTACATATCATATATATGTATTCTAAACAACCTAGATTTAACATCAAAATTTTTTATAATTTTTATATTAATAAATATAATATTTAAAATATTTAAAAATTAATTTAAAATGAATAGTAGAGATCATTTTAAGATAAAATCAAAGGTTAAAATCTGGCCACTTGCAGTGCTCATCACTGTGATGAGCACCAAATTTGAACTCCATCCCACAAGGGATTGATGGTAAAAACAAAAATTTTGAGTGTCAAAACTCTTAAATGCCTTCTCTCAACTCTTTTTCTCTGTTTTTTATTATTTAAAGGATATATAGACACTAATTCATGGCGAACTTGAGAAAAACTCATGACATTTTCATATCACTAGCCTACAAAGTTGTTAGTCCTTTTTCTTGATTACTGAGTTATTTGTCCTTTCTGTAACTCTAATGAGAGAAACTCTTTAACATTTAGTTAATATACCTCTTTTGTTCTCAATATATAAATCCTTTTAAGGACTTTAACGCAAGATCCCCTCCACATCTGTTTACCACATGAAAAATTTTCCCCCTAAAATACCCCTAGTTAACACTCCATTTTTCCTACTCAATGGAAATTCACAAATGCTGTCAATTAAATACTATGGTAATTCTATGAAAAAAAAATTACGCACTAATTACAAATAACCAATTTAAGTCTTTTCTTTTTTAATATTTGTTAGGTAAAAGGACCCTACAATTAGAACTTAAGGATTAAGGAAGTAACATATTACTCATAATATTTATATACATATATATATATATATATAGAGAGAGAGAGAGAGAGTATCATTCAAGAACCACAAAAAGGACTTTGTTGCATTGAAGGACCAAAATATTTTGAAAATACTCTATCAAGGCCTCAGAACCAAAGTGAAACTTGTTGCTGGAGCTTCGGTGATGGGGCTTTAACTCATCTGCTAGACCACCACCAAAACTCTAACCCCGGCAACAATTGTGGAGGGGTAGTGTTTTAAATAAAATAAAGGAAGAGTATTGTAGTAATTGATCCAGACAAATTAATTACATTTCAATTTCTTAATCCTTACATGCTATGTTAGAATCATCATTTAGTCCTTTCATGAAAGAGTGTTTTTTTTTTTTTAATGAGATTCTTCCTGCTTCCTTCAACCCTATTCATAAGACTATATCCATTAGACTTTAGTAGAAAACTCTTTACAAAACTCAATAAAATATTTATAACCCATTTTCAAAATATCCTCATTTCTTTTACCTTAACCTTAATTAATACTTTCTTTAATTTTATTTATAAATCATTTCCAACATGTTTTATCATAAGAACCAAAGAAAACATTTAACTTCACTCACTTTATCTTAAAATTTAACAAATTTTTACATTTATCCTTGACACATATTCTTAAATTTTATTATTAACATTTTTTATTCAAAGCATTAATAAGAGCAAATGTAAAGAGAAACATTAAAAATTGACAAATGCTTTATAAACATGATCATTTTTTTCCCTCTCTTTATCTTATAAATAGAATAAGGGGAGTAGCCTTTTTCCTCTCCCCACCCCCCCCCAAAAAAGAACTATACCAAGATGTAATTTTGAAAATAAAGTTGTAAAATTTTTGGACATTTAGCTAATCTCCTAAATCTTTGAAAAATAGTTAACAAGGCCTTATAAAAAGGGCAAAAGGGCTAGAGGGAGTATCTAATTAAATAAAAGAAACCACAACAAAAATCGGCTTTGCATAACTATCAATTTGATAGTGGGAGCTACGTTCCATTACCAAGGGTATCGCATAACAGAGTGTTGCAATGCATTCAAACCCGTTGCTTTATTAAATTTTTAACTTTTTTTTGAATTAATTTTTTATAACTTATTTAACTTAACTCTACAAAACAGAAGCAAGAAGAAATCAAGACAAGCATGAAACAACATCATATGCATGTATGTATACATATATATACATACATGTGTGTATACATACATACACATATATATATATATATATATATTAAACATTGCACATCTTAATATATATACAACACAGTAATGTGGATGACTTACTTCATCTTCCTAGGATACTTTATCCAAAGGTTGATATCATGATGCATGCGGGAAAGACCTCATTTATCATCGTTCAGCTTAGACAGTAGAAACAGGCAACTAGAGGAAAGCATGACGGAAGCACAGAAGCAGAGCAGATCCACAGGAGTGTGTATAACAGCCTTCTTACTCCTGTCAAACAACCCTATCAGAAGTAGCATCACTATCACATGACCCAGCTTCGTTTTCAGTTCATTCACAGTCTTTATGTCCAGCCATTTTGGTCGTTCCTGAAAGGGATACACAACAATACTTCTCTTAAAATTAATGTTTCGGACTAACAAATTAACAAGGCCATAATTTTGCAAACTACTATATTACATTTTGGAGCACATGTCAGTAGTACAAATCTCTGCAGCAGCAATACATAGAGATTGGACTGTTTTCATAAATTTTGCGTACAGGGAATCTAATTGGGATGCTGATTTGTTAGCTAAATATGGACATGGGGGGGCCTTTCCTTTTGAAATCTTTGATCAATCTCCACCTTTCTTGCAGGAGGTGGCACGTGAAAGATTGGATCTAGTTTGATCTTCACTTTGTTGTATCTTTGCGCCTATTTTTTCCTTGAGCAATTGATTTCAGTTTCCATTCAAAAAAAAAAAAAAAAAAGCCTCTGCAGCAAGGGAACGTTGAACTGTATGTTTCATTGGTAGCTACAGTCAACCATAAAAATTCTTTTTTAAACAAGAATCTTATTACAATTATAATGTAACTTTTGAACTTGTCTAGGAACACCATGAGTGTTTTTGTACGGTAATTAAGCTTCAAATCTCATGTCAACAATGTCTGAGCAAAGCAACTATCAAGGAGGATGTAACTTTCACCCAACAGAAACTTTTAAGAATACCACAACCACTGCCAAACATAGATAAACTGAACGGAAGTTTTTTTGACTGACCAGTGACAACCTTCATGAATTCTCTTGACAACAATTCTACATTTTATATAAGAAGAGGATGGGAAAAAAGGAAATTTACATCCTGCACATCTCTCTATATAAAAGCACAATTTTTCAAAATGTAAACTTGCCAGAGTCATGGTTTAAGTAATCTATCTCATATTTAGATCAATCCAACTTCTTTTTTCCCCCAACTTTCAGATGCATCAGACAGTGAAAATACACATCACGCAAAAGCCTCCTCCCTATGCATGTCACTTGAGCAAATAAACCAGTTGCTGTTTTGGCCCAAAAAACAAGAAAATGCTATTCACAAGTGACACAGTACAATGCAATACCAAAGGAAGGAGCAAGAGTTTCATTTAAGAAGTGCTTTTGTAATAATATGGATAAACTTCATCACCTAGTGGTCCCGTGACACACAAGTTAGATAAGTTGGGATAATCAGCAGGTGACCAACAAGCAAAGGGGAAAACAGAAAGAGTATGTGCAAAAGCTAACCTTCAGAGGGAACAAACCAAAGAGATTGGATCTGTAAGAATCGTTTTGATCTGGCAGAGAGCCTGCACTACCAAGATTACTGACAAAGAGCTCATAGAGACCCATTCCAAAAACCAGCATAACGGTTCCTAAAAGATAGACATCTGCATATGCAACAATGCAAAAAACGAGAAAAATTATGAGACAGAAATGGTCGTATATCAAATGTCAGAAAAGTGTTTAACACTGGCAACAATCTTAAAATTAACATAATTAGTTTATGCCACGTTCAGGCTTCATAAGCAATTGACATTCCAGTGAAAACTGAAGAATATTAAAAAAACAAATTAAAACTATACCACTGCAAATCTAAATTTGTGATCATTCAGTTCTTGATATCATCTTGAAAATTAAAATGGATCTACTTTTAATAATAAAGCCAAAGTACAATACCCTTTGATACATTGGTAAGAGCTTATCTTATCTCAACACGAAAATTAGTTGCTAACTGCATCAAATTGATCTCTAGTATCAATTCAAAAATGCGGTTAAGGAGTATAGGCAATGTTAAGTATTTCTTTCTTTAATTTTCTCTTTCGGAAAAGACGCGACTTGATTTAATAATTTGCAAAAAATTGTTTATGTCAATTTGTTATATCCTTCTCTGTCAACAATCAGTTAGAGTAGGTCAATTTTTAGTATTTAGAGATACTCACCGATAGCTTCTACCAGCATCAGGATTACTTTACTTCGATCAATGAAATATATCATAAAAGTCTCTGCAACAAATGTGCAGCCCTGCATGTTAAATGGTCAATAACATACAATTATTATGCAATAGAATGAGATAATCAGGCAAAGTAAAATGAGTGATCAATGATGTTGAAAATCCATTCAATCAACTCAATCAAATTTATGCAATTACAAATTTCCTTTCTGATAAAATTTAAAAGCTTCCTCTTCCCCCGGCTCTACCTACCTACCTCAAAGGTATGTTCATCTCCTTAGAGCTTGAGACTGAAAGGTACAGGGGAAGTACAGAAACTGACGGGCATATTGGAGTAACTATTAATGTGTATATATACATATAACCATATTTAACCCAATCATCTAAGCTTCAGAATTAAGGAGTAAGGCTTCAATGTCCTTCTTGATCAACAAAGCCGCATGCTTAAGTGAAAGCATGTCCTTTTTATGGCAAAAAAGGAAAGGAAGAAGTAAAAGCATGCTTTTTATAAATGAATGTCGGCGTGTCCAATTAAGACCTAAAACCAAAGAGCACATGGCTATAAATCAATCACAACAAATAATCTAAAGATGTCATATGACTATCCCAACTATGACAAATTAATTATTAATTAAATAGCAAGAGTGGAGACGGAACTATTTATCCTCAGCCGCGATTCTGTACGAACTCGTTAAAGCGGCAGATGGGTTCTCTCTGCGTGATCTGTGTTTAAAAAACCAACGATAGTAGTCTAACAATTGTACCTTGATAAAACATAGAAACGATCCGATTAATGAGCCAAAAACTCCCAGAATAGCCAGAAACCGGCATCTATAAATGACCTACAAAATCCATTGGCCAAAACAAAAAAAGGAAGCAGAAATTAAGCTTGATTGTGCATCACAAATAATTCCAAAAGCTTGTACCGTACCAAACTCTTACCTTCTCTATCTCTTCCTCAATAGCTTCCAACTTCCCAGGTTTCTTCTGAGATATGCGAGAATTCGACGCGATAACAGGCGATGAAGAATTTGCCGCAGAAGAGACAGCAGACCCTGAGGTGCTACACCCGCAATTTAGAAAACTCGATCTATGATTCCCGAACTCAGAAACCTTTTGGCACAGGGGCTCAAAATGAAATTATGGCGACCGAGCGGCGCCGATGATGTTGTTCTGGAAGTTCCTTGCGTCAATGCGTGCGAAAGTCTCATTGTCACGGCTTGAAATTGAAAAAGAGGAAGAAGAAAAGCCTAGTTGCAGGCAAGTGACGCACTAACAGGGAGCGAACAAGAGAGAAAGATCGAGAGGAAATCAAATCAAATAATCATCGATGAAATTGAAATGTTAGTGTGCGTTCGAGATATCAGCCACGTAATATGGTATTTACAGTGAAAGTATGCACTACGTAGGAATGAGAGCTTCGTCGAATCAATCACGTAGTACAGCCCATCTGGAAAGAAGGACGAATAGAGCGCTTGCAACGCCTCAACTCCGATAATAATGACTTCATTCATCGAACCACTCTGACCTGCCTCCATAAAAATCTTCCCCAAAAACGACAAATTTGGAATTTGGAATCACCTCGCTCGGACTGATTGATTTCGGCAGAAAAAACAAAATACCACGTGATATTTTTTTCTTTTTTAATGAAAAACGAAGCAGATCCCAAAACTATACTCTTGTTAATTTCACTTATTTGACCAAAATCTTATTTGTATGTTTTAACTTTCAAGAGTTTTAAAAAGAAAGGAGAGATAGTTTAAAAAATAATTTTTTTATTATTTAAAGTGAAAATTTTATTACAAGAAATGTAGTATAAAAGAGTTAATTTTTTTTGGGCACAAGAAAATTTAAGGAATTTAAGTCTTAAGAAATTATGAGCTAAATCTTTATCAGTTGAATCTATTTTTATTAATCAAAACTAAAAAGAGTTAAGTTTTATTAGTTAAAATAAAAAGCATAATTCTAATGGTGGTGGTGTGTATTATATTATGTTATTATAAGGGAAAATGGCAATAAAATTTTATCAAAATATATAAATGACAATCAAATTTTTCAAAATTCATAATTTTCTAAAGTTCTTAGGTATCTTTTTGTCATTACAAAATTGGACCGTTTAAAATAAAATTAAAAAAGGGTTCATGTAAAAAATTATGATTTTTATTCAATTCTTACGATTTACAGAATGAAAATTATGATTATTTGAATAAAAATTTTGATTGGTTATTTTTAAAACTTGAATTTTAATGATAAAAAAAATTTTACATCAGAAGCTGTAATTTTTTATTTAATTCTTATAATTTAAAAAATAAATGTTAAAAATTGCTAGAACAAAATTATGATTAAAATTGATTATTTTCATAATTCGTTTATTAATCATAAGAGAAATTTTACATAAAAAGTTATGATTTTTTTTTCAATTTTTACGATTTATAAAGCAGAAGTTATGATTATTTAAACAGAAAATATGATTGAAAAAAGGAGCCACACCTATTATTTTTATTTTAAAGAAGGGGTCATTTAGTCTTTTAACTTAAAATCATTAATGTCAGAAAATTAGTTAGGGATTTTAAAAAAAATTATGACATTTTAAAAAAATGTGATTGTCATTTATATATTTTGATAAGATTTTATTGTCATTTTTTATTATAATTTTATCTTTTATGTATAGTTCTTTAATAGTATTTAATTTTAATAAGTTTTATATTTAATATAATTTAATAAAAATCATAAAGAATTTATTAATAATATTAATATTTATTTTTCATACAAATTTGCCTCTACAAACTAATTTTTCTAAGTCCATCATCAAGCATATGCAAAGTTTCTTTTATGATATGCCATTTATTTTTAACGAAACATGTAATTTTTTTTCATATATTTGAATATGTTTTTTGCATATTCCCAAAAAAAGTCTTCGTGTCAATTTTTTTATAAAATATACCTTATATTTGAATATACTTTTTGCATATTCTAAAAATAATAATCTTGGTGTCAAATTTTTTATGGAATGCACTTTAAATTCCAATATGCTTCTTGCATATTCTTAAAAAAGAAAATCTTCGTGCCAAAATTTTATATGAAATACATCTTATATTTGAATATATTTTTTTGTATATTTTAAAAATTGTATCAATTTCATGAAACACTTAGTCACCTCACTCAATTTTTAGGATATCCTTTTGTAATATTTTGAAAATTTTGCTCATTTTTCATAAAAATCTATTTTCATATTATGAAAATCAAATGTTAGGAATGAAAAATAGTCCCTATATGAGCTTGACAATGAAACTTATAAAATATGGAACAAAATTTACATATTGAACAAATTGACATCATACATGGTTCATGTTTTATAAACTTTACATTGAGTTTAAAATAAATTTATTTTACATGAGGTATTGCAATTTTATATGGAAAAATGATTCATCCACAGGAGATAAAACTTGAAAAAAAAAATAATCTCTATACAATCTTTACAAAATCTCATTTATATGAGTTTTGAGAATATAATTTTTTAGAATCTTCTTCTAGTTCTTCAAAATATCCTCTTCTTCTTCTCTTTTCCACCAAAGTTGCAACTCTTCTCGATATTAGTACATAAAAAAAGTTTCACATCTAAAAATTAGAAGATAAATCACAAGTATATAAAATTAAGAAATATTTAATCAAATGCCTTAAGCTATTTTTATGGAGTATATACTATCCTTAAACATATGTAATATAAAAAATCTAATATGATATCAAGTGCCATTCGATTAGATACTAGAAAAAAAGAAAAGAGAGAGAACGAAAAAAATGAAAGAATGAAAGAAGAAAAAAACATGAGATTAAAAAAATGGAAAGAGAGAATGAAAAGAAAAAAGAAGAAGAAATTGAATAGACTTAAGGCGTTTGAAATTAAAAAAGTACAAGCTCAAGCAAGAAAAAGAATAATAATAAAAGAAGAAGAAGAAAATAATAAAAGGAATATTAAAACATAAAAGAAGTCTCACATCTAAAGATTAGAAGATAGATTACAAATATTTAAACTTAAAAAGTATTTAACAAAATGATTTAAGCTATTTTGATGGAGTATGTTATTTATAAGCATACTTAATATGAAAAATGTAATGCTCAAAAGGAAGTCCTTGCTTTATAGAGTATCATATTCAAAGGAATAAGGAACCAACATCAATTATAGTATCTTGTAATGCAAAAAATGCAAAGATCATTCCAAGTGATCCATCGAACATCGCGACATCAACCATAATATCCTATTCAAAGAAATAAGGAAACATAAATATTGATTAAAGAAAAAAGTCTCACCCATAATTAAGGCATATAAAAGTAAGTTTTTGAGGACATCAATACATTATCAAATGATAGCCAATCAACAAAGCCTCAACATCTACATTTGCACCCTCCATTCAACCATATTCATTCTCCATTTTGTCTTCCACCTAGAAATAAGCATAATCATTAGTCAATCTATTAAAAATAGTTCATTCTTTTGTATTCAAAAATAGAAGTAGAGGACTAACTTTAATTTATCATAGCACATACATGCTTTACAATTGCAATTTCCACAACATACAGGACACTTCTTAGCAATATCTTCCTCTCAATTGAGAATACCTTTACAATATAGCAAATACATGGAGGACCAAAATTAACCGTGATATTAATTGAACATAATGTTTGTGCATTCATTGATAATAGAGAAGAAGAAAGTTTTCTTACTCCAGGATCATTCTTGTTTACTTTAGTTGTCCCTTACTTATAACTTCAGATTTAAAAGCCCTCCTTCAAATTAACAAAGGGA